GCGGGGTGTGTGGCCTTATGACACATTTCCGGTGATGTCAGGGGGTGTGGCCTTATGACACACTTCCAGTGATGTCAGGTGGTGTGGCATATGCTAATGAGTTATGCTAATGAGTTCCCCTAGCTCTTTTTCTACGAAATGACCCCTACCTGTCCCTATTGAAATATACTATGGATCCAAATGTCTGTAACATTTAGGGGGTTCACTTACTGTAACTTAATTGTAATTGCTAGGGGGCTTTTGAGGTGATTACTGCTGTATTCAAAGTAGTCCACGTCAACCCTAATAATGAGATTTTCTTTAACAAAACTGTGTACTCTAATACTGGATAGAAAGAGTGGGGTTTTTTTTAAGAGTGTGGATCTTTTAAAGAAAACAGAAAGAAGCTCTAGAAAATAACAGGCAGAGTGTATGAAGTGTTGGCACTCTGTTGCCAAGGAGGTGGGTAAGATGAGTAATCTTAGTAGTGCTCAGCCTTTAAAGAATTAACAATTAAGAATAAAATTAAATGTGACAAAAAGATTGCACATGAGTATGGGGATAAGGAGTTGTCATTTGCTATCAGTAGCATCACAGCCACAGTCCAGTACATACCCATGACAGTTGCACAATCACACTCTACATAATACAGTCCCCACTAGTGGGACAGAAAGGTACATTTCCCTGCAACAAAGTGTGCAAGTTTCTGCCCATGTTACCTTAGAGAAGATGTCTGGATTGCATGCAGCTGATTTAAAAACAAGCTCATTTGTTTTGCAGTACATAAATGTGTAGGCCTGTGGGATTCATTGTCACGGTGGCTGATTGTTAATTAGTGAGTGACTTAATGTATCCATGCTAGAACTAAGTTCAGATTTCTCAGACTTTACACAGTGGCACTTGGAACTTGATGACATGTCCTCTTGATGACACGTCCAATAGAAATACTACTTTCCTATCCCTGTTCCTGCCCAGGCGGTTGTGACAGCTACATAACTACAAGTGCAGTTTTTAGAAAGAGGAAGCCAATTTATTCATTTCTTGGCTTTGTTACTAAAACCAACATTGGTTTCAGTGGTGATTGTGGAGATAACATGGCAGCAGGCAGCAGCTTTTATAATGCTGACAGATTTCCAGCATGCTTTGGAGTCAGTCCAGCAGTCCAGTTCTTTATCACTGCTGTCCTGAGGCTAGAAAGAATAGCTTGCATCCTGCTGCCTGAACAGTTCTGTAGCACAGTATCAGCTTCTGTAAAATGTGCAATTAAGTTAACCTTTTCATGTTTTATGGCAAGAGCTTAAATATATCTTGCCGTACAGTTTTGTTTCATTTACCAAATTCAGTTGTCTGTCTTGCCCCTTCACCCATGCCTGAGATAGGTTGTCTACCTGTATTTTAGAACAGAAAAATGAAGCATTGCATAAACTAGTTATTATTTATTATCATTTTAAATAAAATCAATTTTACAAAAATTACAAAACTCCTCAGAGGATGTCAGGGTTTCTAATGTCACAGTTAACATCCAAGGAGCACTGTGCATAGCTGTTTTCTGCCACAAAATAAGGGAACTGTTTTTCTTTAAGATTGATCCCGGACTGGTAATTTGTCCATACACAACACAGTTGGAACATAAGAGGTGCCCAGCCAAATCAAACCAGTGGTCCACCTAGTCCAGCATCCTGTTTCATGCAATGGCCAACCAATCACTCTGGAGTGCTAACATATAGGGCATAGGGGCCATGGCCTCCTCCTGATGTTGTCTCTCAGTACTATAGGTTTACTGCAGCAGCTTGGTCACTGAAATAAAGAATGTTTGCTTGTTACCTTAAATTTAGAAACTTGTTTTGTGTTTACCCAAAAGGAAGACTGGGATCCCCCCCCCCATGTATGTTGTCCAGAAAAAGGAGGGAATCATCTTCCATTTGCATACAAGTTACAGTTATGTACAGTAATTTTGTTAATAACATTTTATGGGGATCATCTTACACTCAGGATCATCTTTCTTTTCAGTAAATGCATTAGATCCAGGTGATTAACTGGATCTGCTGCATTTACTGAAAAGAAAGATGATTGTGAATGTCAGATTATTTCTCTTTATATATTCAGTGACATGTTATCTTATTTATATATTGCAGCAGACCTCCGTGGTTTGATCTTCCTCCACCTCCATATTCCTCAGAATCAGAATCTCAGAACCATGTAGACCTCCCTCCCTATCGATCTCGGACTGGGAGTGTGGTGAGCACAGATGCTCCAGTGGCAAGAAGTCAACTGAATACAGAAGGCAGTCAAACCAGGAGCATCGTTAACAGTTTGGACTATCACAGTGTGCTACAAGAAATTCCACCTGAGCAAAGTGACTCTTTAATCAGTTCCCTTTCTGCTGAGGAACTGTAAGCAGCTATTTATGAAATTCTTATGGGTGGATCTGTGCTAAGAAGTCAAATGTCTAGAAGCACTTGGGCTCATTCTCCTTGACTTCTGCAGTGCAAACACCATGGAAATGAACTGGAGCTGTGGAAGCTTCCATTCAATTACTCCCACTCATTTCAAAGGATTTTGGAGGAACACACCAGCGTATTGTGCCTAAAGGGACTCAGCCATGTTACATTTTAGGCATTCTGTCTTTGGGAGCAGTTCTGGAATTTCAGTTCAGATTCACTTTGATTCTGTAACATGTTATTCTTCTAAGGTATTTCAGGGGTATTTACTGTGTGTATGTGTCTGAATATACAGGTGCATAGCTCCACACCTATATTTGGGAAAATCCTGATGCTGTATGACAAATATTTATGTCTGTGTAAGTATGTATATAGTTACAGTAGTATGTGAAGCTTGCATTGTGCAAGCATAAATCCATTTTCCTGGTTGCTACTGGAAATGCCCCAAATCCAAACCTGCTACTAGAAATCCCCCAAATCCAAACCTGAAGAGGAAACAACTATTATGGCTGAACATGATGTTTTGGTTTGATTTGTGCTGGAATGCTGGTCTCTGTTGCAAGGTAACCTTCATGCCCCAAGTTTTGTGACAGCTAGGTGTTCATGATGGGATGTTTTGGAGGTCATTAGTTCGCAGCCTGAAGTGATTTGAGGGCGCATAACATACACACACACAAAGGTGTAAAAATGTTCTGTTTTCATATTTATTTAGTGCATCAAGGGTTGTGCGTGTACCAAATTTGATCCTTCTGGATGGTATGGAAACAGTGCTCAAATCATGGGGAGAAAGGCAGGGGGCACTTATATAAAATCCACAACACACGTCTCTTTATCCTCTCCCACACATCTAGTATGGAGTGCTATATAAATTGTGTCATTCTTGGATCCTTAAGAGCAAGCTTCATGAGTGCACATGAACAGCAATCAGGACAGTGCTTAGAGAAAGTAAAGAGGACTCTTGTGGCAATAGAGAATAATTTCTCTTCAAGCACAAGCTTCTGTAGAGTTAAGCAGATCTGATGAAGTGTGCTCTAATCCATGAAATCTTATGCTAACATAAAAATTTGTTAGTCATTAAGGTGCCAGAAGACTAGCATGGTTATCCAGTTGAAAGGTTAAGGGGATCTTATGCCCTCTTCAATTGAGGCTACAAACTTAACCAACAACCTCCTATTTAACTGCAGAAATCTTAGAGAAGTCTTACATTCATATTTTTTTTGTTCCCCCTTCCAAAACCTGTGTAGCAACAGTACTCTCCCCATTTGTTTTCACTATGCTTGTGAGTGGTGGTGTCCAGGAAGGGAATGACTCTCCAGCGCTGGGATCACCAACAGAAACTCTCCCAGAGAAGGAACATCAACTGAGAAATGGGGTAATTGGCACAAGAAGACAATTATTCCTCTCATTATCAAATCCCCATGCCCAGAGAAATGGGAGAAGTTACATTCATAGTGCCCTTCTCTTGATCTGGATTGGAACCCATCTTCCTGCCATCCCGGAGATTACTGAGAATGTTGTTCGTTGCTTTCAATCTCTGGTTTTGATCTTCATAAAGCGAAGAAACCAGCTTGGGCTCAGTGCATCTTCCAGGGCAGCAGAAATTCTGCCCTTCTCTTCCCCAGCAGGTCCTCCAGCCCAAATAGACATATTCCAGTCTTCTTCTGTGTGGTTCTTGATGGCCATTTGAGTTGGACTCCACGTAACCATTTTTTTCTTATTCAAGGTTATTCTAGATCTTGACATTACAGATAAAAGGGTTTTTTTAAGCAGTTATTGAGTGAGGCACTTTCTACTTAGGTGGAAAGTTCCCTCAGCCAGTGTACATTGCAGATTTTGAGCAGCATGATTTCTTGAAGTGTGGCAAGAGACTCAGTTGGGAAAAAGGGAGTAGCCAACCAAACTAAGTGCATGACATGGGGGGGAGAGGGGCAAGAAACAGTTGCTAAAGTGATATTCTGTCTGGGATGATAACATTGGTAGACCTGGATAGATTAAACAAAGAGGTACAGAGATGGAGACCAGTTCAATCAGATATACAAAGTTGAAGAAATATGGTAATGTGATCCAGAGAAAACGATGGGAGTCCTTAAATAGAGGCAGGACATTAAAGCCATGCCCTTCATGCAGCTTTTAAAAAACACGGCTAAAGAGTAACAAGAGGTCAGGGTCTGGGACTGCTCACTCCTCACCATAATCTAAGTACTGCATGGAAGTATCTTTACTGTTTTTTTAGAGGGATATTTCTTGAGTTATTCAACAACTCTCCCTTTTAGATATTTGTAGTAATTCCTGTGTTTTAACTGTATGGGTATCATATTTCAGCTACCTAGTGATTGTGGGAATAGTTTAACCCTTTCGAATTCCCTGTTTATTTTTGTGAGGGGGTTTTGCTGTCAAGTCACAGCTGACTTATGGCCACCCTGTAGGATTTTCAAGGCAAAAGACATTTAGAGGTGGTTTGCCATTGCCTGCCTCCGCACTGTGATACTGCTATTCCTTGGAGGTCCTCCATCCAAATACTAGCCCTGCTTACTTCTGAGATCTGATGAGATTGAGCTATTCTGGGCTACCCAGGTCAGGGCTGTTTAGAGATAAGGATAAACAAATCAACCTTCTTCAAATGTTTCTAATAGGGTGTTTAAGGCTTAGTGTGTGCCAAAATTTAGCTTCCTGTGTGGCCTGGAACTACCATACTCATTCAGGATAAACTCTGACTCTCCCTCTTTGAGGTAGAGAAGGACAGATGTCCAATGTTAAGTTGCTTTTTTATTATTAATAATGATAATAGTAATAATCAGAGTGCCTTCAATTGTGCATGTACCAAATTTCAGGGCACTAGTTCTTTCCGAAGTACCCTGATAATTTTTATACCCTTGCGTGTGAGTAACTCCGTCAATGGGGGCTGTGTTTTATATACAGTTTCACAAGACTAGATATTTTTGTAGTATTTCCAATGATGTTTTTACAGAAAATTCATCAGTCAGTGCAGTTTTAAGTGGAATTATCCCACTGAGCCCATTAAAGTCAATCGGCTTAGAAGAGTGTAACTCTGTTTGGTATTTCATTGATTGCCTGGTAAAACACATTTACTCTTTGTTTGGCATTCATTCTGATTGTGGCTGGTACACACTTTACAGAGCAAGCTCATTTACCACATGTGCATGAGCAGTAGTAACCATAAACAGGAAGTGTGAAGAGAATGGCATGTTTCAGTGCTTCTCTATGTGTATACACACCATGAAAATCTACTTTTGATTTACATTTTTTACCTCTGAAAACTCTGGTGTACATGCTGGATAAATGTCTGTTGTGTGGTGTGAATGGGCCCTTACAGTACTAAGTACCTGGGCATCATTCAGATAGTTTCACTGGCTGAGGACTGAAGTCCTGAGTTTAAAGGCTTTAACAGAAAGCAGTATTTGCTTTTTTAATAACTGTCCTTACATAACACATCTCTTTAGACTGTGTTATATATATTTGTGTTGAGATGCTATTTAGATTTGAACTCTTAAAATAAATGCATTTTAATGGCATGTTTGCATTTTTCCCACTTCTACCTACAGATGCATTTACATTGTTTACAAAGGAGGAAACTTTGAAAAAAAATGAATAAAGTATAAGTAGAGCAGCAGAAGAGTAAACATGCCTTTCTACCTCACTGTAGGAAATCACTTGGTATGAGGACATGTTAGAGTAGCATGGCTCAGTAATACGCACATATAGAAGATATTTAAAATATCCCCTAAATATAATATCCTTTTCAAATGAATGTTTTCATGTTTTTATACACTCTAATGCGGAAACATTAAACCCCTGAAGGGGCTATAAATTTTGAGAAGAGCTGAAAATCTGAGCATTTCATAACAGGATTTAATGCAAACCTCAGGATAAGATAAGGTGTTTAATTTAATTTAAATGGCAATGTGTGAACCATGTTGGGTTAATCCTGTACACACGTATTTTTATTTTCTAGCAATTCATTAGTTATAATTTCAATACTTAAATATTGTAGTTGTTTACAGAGGCTAAGATCCAAAGAGCTACTTTAGGCACACCTAATCGCCTGGGCATACCCATGGTGATTTTTTAAAAAATAATTTAACCACAGTTAGCCATGCCATATAATAAACTATTTTGAAAGTCCCTCCATGTTCAAAAGAGGATTAACATATAGCACTGGGGACTACTCTTCAAGAAACACAAGCCCAGCACATAGAACTACAGGCCCATTTTATTTGTCTATAGCAGGACGCTTTCTAACAGTGCTTAAACACTTAAAGGTAGTGCTTTTGCGGACCTTAAGCATGCTATAGCAAAAATTCAGTTTTCTTTTAATATGCATTGCATTTCTTCAATTTTAAAACTGTAAATACTTGACCCTAACATTCTTTCAAGTAATATTATACATTTCTATAATGGATCCACTGCAGACTTTATGTTTAACAATAGTTAGAACTAACCATGGCTTATGGTCTAAAGGCTGGTTAAGATCCCAACTATATAGTGAACCATAGTTTAGGTTGCTGAGCTACACCTTGTCCTTGGAGGCTGCATACAGAAAGGTATTAGTAAGCCCAGCTTATGATCAGATAAGTACATCCTGGTTTGTAACTTTTCAGATTTAGTTCATAACCATGGTTTAAACAATGAAAAAGCCTAAGTGTATTCTTATAAGACTATGTGATCATGTTGCTAATTCAGTCAGTGAGTTCATACACTTAAGTGGTATGTACAAATCAAGCTTGACCATAATATTAAATTCAGGTCTTTGAGAACAAAACACAGATCTTAATGAGATTCTAGCCTATTTACTGGTATCAGCACTTGGTAAGATTTGTAAGCAGGGTCTATAACCTTATTACTTGTAGTCTTGAATGTCTAAATATCAAGAAACATTACCATCAACCCCAAATTTGAATAAATGTCCTCATTTTCACTTCAGAACATGGTGGTTCTTGTGTATTTTCTAAGTGAGGTCCAAATATGAACTACAACTAATATGATTGTATCTACTGACAGATTTGTCTGGAACAATGTAGTGTGTCACCATCTTAGCTGCCTCAATATAAATCGATATATTTTACTTCTTGGACAGAAAACCCACAAAATATAACAGCAGGTGGTATCCTTCAGTTTAACAGATATTGCTGCTCAACCACCAAATATAGAGTCTGTGTTCCAGAGCATCACATAACAAAAAAGATTCCTTCTGGACTTTCCTGTCTCTGGTTGACATTAAATCAATTGTGTTATAGGCCCATCATACTTGCGTATGTAATATTTTTAAAAATTGTCTGATACCTCACAATCTTGAAAAGCTGGACCTGTCTTAGGTAAAACCAACAAAACATAGAGTAAGTAAACTTCAAACTTATTGGCAGCATATGAGTATTTAATAGAGTTACCAGTATTAAAGTGTGGCCTGAAGAATGACAGCTGATCTCCAGACCCTTGGAGAAACAGTGGTATGTCATAGAGTCTGGGAGAAACAGAAGGTTTTTGCTCTAGGACTCTTATTTCTCTTATAATACACCATAGGGAATATCAGATGGTTATGCCTTGATACAGAAGCATACCAGTGATATAAGGTGAGAGGAAAAGGTGGGGAGAAGTGATACAAGGTGAGAAATTTAGATATGAATTTTGGTGGAAGTGACCTCAAAAAGAAGAAGTTGGAGGAACTGACCATTGACCTGGTTGTGACATCACATCTCTGATGAGCTTATTCAGTCCCTAAACTATGCCCCAACCAGTCATTGAACTCAAATCTCCAGGAATTTCCTAAGTGAAAGTTGCCAATCATAGTATTTAATAAAATGTGTGCATCCCAGGTATTACAAGACTGCAAGGTTTCTTCTGGTTGAAGACTTTGCCAACTGTGGTGGTTTTATTAATGATGACGAAGAGGGATATTTTAAAGCCCATCAGGTTTTTATACTGTATTGTAAGGGAACAGTTAACAAGAAATTTTCAAAAGACCAAAATCCCTGTCTTTACAAAAAACTTTGTTAAACATAGATGGCAGGTTGACAGCCATGACACTGAGTAGGTGAAGTTTTTCAAATACCTAGGCATAGTTTTTCAGTCAGCTGGTTCATGGAATGCTCAGATGCCCCACAGTATTGGGACCAGTGTTCCCTCTAAGCTAAGTTAGTGTGAGCTAGCTCACAGTTTTTTAGCCTCTGACTCACACATTTTTGTCTTAGCTCAGGAAGGATGGCTCCAGAGTAAATTATGCAGTAGCCAAATCGCTTGTTCACAACTTTAATGCCAGTAGCTCACAAAGTAGAGTTTTTGCTCACAAGACTCCACAGCCTAGAGGGAGCATTGATTAGGAATGTCCAAAGAGACATATCAGCCACCCTGAGGTTGTTGGGGGTTTTTTTCATAAAAAGGGATCCTACATTCCTTATGTGACCAAAGGCCAACGTAATTCCCCAATTCATGTATGCATTACCACTGTGTTTATATAAAGATTTCCATTTCCCCAGAGATAATACAACCTAAATTTCTCAGATCCATATTTGAGGTCCCATGCTGTGTTTCCCGTGCCCTTCTTAGATTAGAGTCAGGGATGGTGCCACTTGAAGCACAAGGGTGGTATCAAGCAATATGCTTTTGGCTTAAATTAAATTTTACCCCTTCTGGATTGACTCCATTAATTCTTTCAGCTAATTTCCACTCGTGCTGGGTGAAAGCTATTGAAGAGAAACTACATTTCTATGGGGTTTTGCCCCTGGCCCTACGCTATCTTGAATTTATGAGAGCCAAAGATATAATTAAACAGTGAGTCTGGGATGTAACTCTTCAAACAGAGCGTGTCAAAGTCTCATCCGGTGGTAGGAAACTTTGCTCTGACAGACTATATGTTTCAGAATTCCCTGCATACCAAAGACCCTTACCTTGCTCTGCTTTAAATGCTTTATCATCAACTCTGGGGAAATATGCATTTATCCTTTAGGGCTCTTTTTGTAGCAGGAGCTCCTTTGCATATTAGGCGACACCCCCCTAATGTAGCCAATCCTGCAAGAGCTTACAGTAGCCCCTGTAAGAAGAGCTCTGTAAGCTCTTGGAGGATTGGCTACATTAGGGGGGTGGAATGTTCAAACTATCGCACAATTGCACTCATATCACACGCTAGCAAGGTCATGCTCAAGATCCTACAAGCTAGGCTTCAACAGTACGTGGATAGAGAACTACCAGAAGTACAAGCTGGGTTTCGAAGAGGTAGAGGAACTAGAGATCAAATTGCCAACATTCGCTGGATTATGGAGAAAGCAAGAGAGTACCAGAAAAATATCTACTTCTGCTTCATTGACTATGCTAAAGCCTTTGACTGTGTGGATCACAACAAACTATGGCAGGTCCTTAAAGAGATGGGAGTACCAGACCACCTCACATGTCTCTTGAGAAACCTGTATAAGGGCC